ACTGGGCTTTCAACTAAAGACACAGCCACGCAAAAAACTGCGGCATGTGTACGGCTCCTTATGGGTAACTGCAATTTGTGAAGTGGCGGAGCGACGTCCTGGTGCTTTATTTTTTCAAAATAAATTGTATTTTTAATCTACTCTTCAAACACCTTAAATTAACATTACTCCTTGATTGACTTTTAAAAATATTTTTTTTAGCCATAAGAATAGTTATATTTATTAACTGTGTGCGGTCTTCATCTAAAAGCCCAAATAAAATATTAAAAGGTGTAAATGTAAATTCAATATTTGCCGCCAAATAATTTGCTAAACATTATGATTTGTGTGGAAACATTTCATTATTAAGATTTATTTTTTATTTGAACCTCTTTTTCTTTCTCTTTCTGATCCTCCTTAGCAACGGTCATTGCAGTCCTTGACAGCGGTCTGTTCTACTGGATTAACAACATGTCACATGTTCTGAATCGACCAATCAGAACTTTATTTAGCCTCCGTATTGTTTATGGTTGAATGTGGGCCGCACATTTTTTTTTTATTCTTAAGTGGGCCCTGAGTTGAAAAAGGTTGGGAACTGCTGATCTAGACTAATGGTTTGCAATATAAAACAACATTATAATTGTGAAAATTGTCACTTTATATGGTAAAGAGAAAAGCAGCACATCCCCACATTTAAGAGGCAGATTTCCGCATTTTAGGTAAATTATGGCATTAAATATTACATTTAATCGATTATCAAAAAAGGAAAAATAGGGATTGTTTTTCTGTTCTTCAACAATAGGTAATGCATCCAAGCAGATATACATATATGGTATTGGGAAATAAATAAAAGTATTTTACCCTCCTGACTACATAATCCATTTATACGAGTAGATTTTCCCGGCTAATGATTTATTGCAGTCTCATCTGTGTTTAGTGTCTCTTCAAATGTCAGTGATTAACCTGAGATTATAACATGAAGGACAAACTTTGAATTGTTTTTCTTGATTAAAAAGCAAACCGTGAAATCACAGCACATATTTACTTTTTACTTTACTATGGGAACATCATTGCTTTGTTTTTTTAAGTTGGTTTAATTGGAGTTTCAACACAACTCCAGAATCATGGGAATCATTGTGTTTTTTTCTGGACTGTCACCAAAAGCACTGCCAAGTGGAACCATGTCAAATATAGATTTTCTGAATAAACAGCTGGCTCCACAGAAACTGTTTGCAGGTATTGTGGGAGTGTAATCGGGACAAATCAGAATACTTTAAGGCCAGATTTTGGTCGGACAAATCAGGCAAAACAAACAAGACTGTTTGCTCAACATTTTAAAAGGTCCTTGGGAGTTACTTTTAAAATATGCCCTTGAACCTCAGGCTATGAGTGAGCAAGACATTACTGTATACACAAGGCCTTGTCATTTAAATATCTAAATGTAAGGTTATTTCCCACACATTATTAGCTGAGACTGTACGAGGGAAAAACATGTCAACACATATTTTTGTATGTGTTTTTCTCAGGTTTGCTGGTGGATGTGATTCTCTAGTGCTAAACGTTTCATATATGATTTATAATAGATTTTCACACCTTTCTTTGAGTTTGTTAGTGGATGAGATTCTCCAATGCTCCCATTTCCTATAATATATCTCTCCCCATTCCCTAGGTTTGCTGCTGGACTTGAATCTACACTTATACACATTTTATATATTGTGTTTTTATTACTTTTCTCCGTTTCTTTTTTACCCAGGTTTGCTTGTGGAGGTTATCCTTTGGTACTGCATCCCGGCCTTAAGCAACCATTGTTCTCCCTTTACCTCTGGTTTGCTTGTGGGTCTGATTCTACAATGCGACACAGTTTATACATTACCATCTGCCTTTTGATCCTGCAGTACGACATCCCGGCCACCAGCTACCATTTTCTCCCCCTTTCCCAGGTTTGCTGCTGGTCTTGAATCTACAAGGCTACACATTTCATATAACATTTTTTGAATAACTTTTCCCCAGGTTTGCTGGTGGGGGTGATCCTGCGGTACGGCATCCCGGCCACCAGCTACCACAACAAGACCCCCCCCAGCTGCTCACTGAAGGAGGGGCCGGTCAGCACCGTCCTGCTGAACATCAGCGGGAAGTTCTTTGAGTACACGCTGAAGGGAGAGATCAACTCCAGAGAGATCCACAACGTGGAGCAGAACGACATGCTGCGCAAAGTAAACACTTAACTCTCGTTTTTTCATTCATGTTCTTACTTTTTCTCACATTATTGACATATACATGCATACTTTACCTACTGAATGTTGAACAGGAATGCACTTTCCCCCGTATCCTCATAAAATCCTACACCTTTAGAAGCATTTAGTCAGAACTTTCTCTAAAGACCTGTGAAATGTAATGTTGTTAGGGAGTAGTGACCTACACGTCATTTAACAGTTTAACTATATTTTGCGGTAGCTTTTTGTTTAACTTCTTCCCTATTTGCATAGTGATTCAGTTATTTGTGTTACTTTTTAGATTTTTGTGGCATAGATGTGACTGAAACCCCGAGCAATTTGGGGCCTGATGTTTAGATTTTCTTACAAATAAAAGGATAGTCTGATGAAGAGCAAAAACACTGTAGATATGTAAATGCTTTCATTGTCTTCTCCCCTTTAACACAGGATGTGCTAAGTATACCTTAAACTTAACAGATGTGTGTCCATTTTATTATGTCTATGCTGTGCAAAAAGGTGAAAGTTGAAGACAGTTTTAGGTGTTTAGACTGTATAAAACACTGACGAGTACAACAACTGACGGCATTTCCATTGTTTTCAATTTAAACATAATACTTCATTTTGCATCTGTTTGAGCCAATTGTTTTGTTTTTGTGAAAAGGTCAAATAATATTGTCCCCTAGTGGTAACCTCTGTAGTCAATGGAATATAAAAGACTGCAAATGTCACAGAAATGGGCAACCTGTGTAGAAGACATTACATTTCACTTGTTAGACGCTTTTATCCAAAGCGACTTACATACTCAATAATGTGGGCAATCCCCACAGGAGCAATTTGGGGTGAAGTGTCTCAGGGACACAACGACATGCTGACTGCAGTGGGGTTTGAACCTGTGCTCCCCTGATCCCAACACCAACGCACTAATCCACTGCACCACACGCCTCCTGTTGTCAAGACAATTTTAACCGTGAAATTATATTATGTACAACATAATAGAAAGAAAGATTAAGTTTCTTTATCATTTTATTTTAATTTGGGCACCTTTTTGTTTAGATTTTTCCTACAAAAATCTACTAGTACTGTTGTATTGTAAATTTATGTAATTTTTTGTGCAGATAAAACATCAAATTAATTTCCTAAAATCTTTTCCAGGTGACATTCGACCCTGAAGTGTTCTTCAACATTTTGCTGCCTCCCATTATATTCCACGCTGGATACAGTCTGAAGAAGGTGAGTGCGGCTTGTTCAAATCATTCTATCTAATGCTCAATGTGTTTCAACTTGCAGTAACGTAATATAATGCATAATACTATAGCAGGACATGCACACTTTGACGCTATTTACACACTATCTGTTGTTGTTTTGAGGCTTCTTCGTCTCTTTGTAGTCATTTTGTGTCTTCTTTTCCCACTTTAGTTCCGATATAGTTCCGAAATGTCGCGTTCACACCAAAAAGAGCCGGAACTAAAATTCGTTCATGAGAACCTTTTTACCCCCTTTTCCGTCCCTGCTAGAGAGCAGGGACTCTCATGCGGCTCTCTTGTGAGAAAATAGCTATATTTCTGATTGGCTGGGCGGATTGCAAACCACGCCCCGTAAAACTCAAAAAAAGTGTTGTGAAGCCACCATTTTATTATCCTCGCATTAGCATTATTAGCATTAGCATTAGCCCAGCCCAGCCCAGAAACGCAGAGAGACTAATTTATGGCAACACAAAATAAAACATGGGAGCGGTGGAGATGAGGAGGTGTCGGCGTTCTGGCGATTTACTCGGAAGGCTTCAGTAGAAGCTGCTGCCAGTCCCCAACTCCGGGGACTTCCGGCCGGGTACTTTTGGGCGGCAGTATACGCCGTGAAGTAGTTTGCGGCCTGCCAGTAAACCCAAAGCAGAAGAAGAAGAAGTGACGTCAGCGGCTTCATTTGCCTAATCCACCCCCAGGGACTTATTCCGGTGTGAACGCGATCTGTACTTAGTTCATCAGAACT